CATCATCCTCCTGCTAGAAGGGTCCAGCACTGGCTGTGACACTGTGGTGTGATCACTTCTTAGGGCTGTGCTATTTCTTTGATTTCCTCCTTTAACTTCTCAAGCCACTCTGCCACCTCTGTGCTTCTTTCTCTGGCAGGACTGAAAGGCATATTGAAGGCATACATTATATCACTTGGCATCAGCATCCGTTGCTTTTTTTTTTTAAATGCATGATTTATCATATGTTTTCCTTATCACTGTAGTTACTGGATATCATGAAGTGTTAACAAAGGTTTTGTTACTTGATGATTGCTGAATTCTTCTTGAATTTTAAATTGTCATTTGGTGAATTTTCACATTATCATTTTTATTTATGATATACACTATTTTCAGAATATAAAGACTACCAGCAAGTTCCATGTTTCCATGATCTTTTGGGATGATGATAAGTAACTTTTTAAAGTTTTAGAATGCCTCTAGTTAGGGCCCTAGCCTGAGTTTGAGCAGGTCTGTGTTCAGGTCCTGTTTGTGCTGCAGATTCCCCGCTCAGCCTTTAGAAAGACATGGTGGGCCCTCTGCCCTTTGGTGACGGTGTTACAGATGGGCACAGCTGATAATGTTGCCCCTTTGCTGCTTTATCTCCGAGGGCATGGACCTTCTGGATGACCTGCTGTACACCGTGGTGGTTCTGCAGCTGGCTCAGGAGGAGCTCCACTGCTCGTGCAGAGAGCTGAGAGCAGCAGTCTCAGGAACTCTGCTAACCTCAGACAACCTCTTTGAAACTCACAGCCTTCACTTCTGTGCCTCTCTTTACCATGTTGAGCACCAGACCGACTTTTCCCATTTCCTGACTCTTTTTTTGACTGGTTTAGGGAAGTGCCTGTTCTTTTTTAATGCTGACCATAGATTAGAACTAAGAGCCTTGGCTTTTCTGAAAGATGATGGGGTATAGGAGCAATATAGTGATTAACTGTTGGTGGAGTCATAGCACAGGTCAAGGGAAGGCTGTTATCAGCTTCATTTCCTTGCCCTTCTGATGACTAAAAAGCAGTTTTCCAGGTATTGCAAATGACTGATGAACTTCACTGATCTCAGTCTTTTTCAGCTGAGTTATGTTTTGGGTCTAGTGAGTTCATACACAAATTATTAACCAAGTTTCTTGATCTACCTAGTCAAATGTAATTTCTGTGATCTGAAAACTATCAATGTGCTTTGCATCTTATCTCTAGTACTACGTGTAGCATTTTACAAATATGGGTGTTACACACATTTTGAATGCTGAAGTTATCACTGAACTTTAATATCTGCTGATCACAGCAGATCCTTTGTAAAAATTGCTGCCAGAAATAAGGCAGAGGTTGATATTTTTATTTTCTACATGGCACTAAAGAAAGTCCTATCTAAAAGTGGTAAGTTTAGTAGCTGTTGCTAGTCACAGCAGAACAGAAAAGATGATTTCCATAGGCTACTCTGCCAACCTGCTGTCCTGGTTTTGGATGGGCAGAGTTAATCTTCTTCGTAATAGCTGGTATGGGGCCATGTTTTGGATGTGTGCTGGAAACAGTGTTGATAATTCAGGCATGTTTTAATGATTGTTGAGCAGTGCTTGCAGAGCCTCAAGACCTTTTCTAATTCTCCACCACCCTGCCAGCAAATAAGCTGGAGTTGCACAAGAACACAAGGAGACACAGCTGGGATGGCTGATCCCAACTGATCAAAGTGATATTTCATACCATATAGCAACATGCTGAGCATATAAACTAGGGGGAAATTTGCTGGGGGGCACTGCTCAGTGGTGGCTGGGCATCAGTTGGTTAGTAGTGAGTTTTTAATTTCCATCACTTGTCTTCCTTGAGTTTTATTTTTATTTTTTAATTTCCTTTTCATCATCATCATCATCATCCTTGTTGCTGTTGCTGCTGTTGGATGGCCTGAAGTTGTGTCAGGGGAGGTTTAGGTTGGATATTAAAAAAAGGTTCTTCACCCAGAGGGTGGTTGGGCACTGGAACAGGTTCCCCAGGGAAGTGCTCACAGCACCCAACCTGACAGAGTTCAAGAAGTGTTTGGATGATATTCTCAGGCACATGATGTGACTCTTGGGGATGGTCCTGTGCAGGGCCAGGGGTTGGATTCAATGGTCCTGTGCAGGGCCAGGAGTTGGACTTAATGATCCTTGTGGGTCCCTTCCAACTCGGTATAGTCTGTGATTCTGTGAAGACCAGAGGCCCCAGCATTCGCTTTCCTACTCTACTGGGAAGAAAGCAGAGTCTTCTCAGGTGCTTCTTGTGAATGTGAACTGTATCAGACTGGGTCTTTCATCCCCAGATAATCCTTTCACACTAAAACAGCCTTTCACTCTTAAATAATTCCTGTCTTTCTGTCATCAGAGGTGACCTAAGGCCTTTGGCAGTTAAATCTCTTTCCAGTTAAACTCCTGGAACCCTCCAAGCAGCATTTTGAAACCCTTCAGGGATTACATGAGTAATTAGATAAATAATAAAAAAGCCATGTCTGGATGTGGGATGATGCTGGGAGCAAAGCCCTGCTTTTCTAGTGCATTGGGCTTTGCAGCAGTTTTTCACCCTCAAGGCTGCTAATAAAGGAGTGCAAGGCACTTTATCTGCAAAAGTAAAGGAAAAGAAAATGCAAACAACTTCAGTTTTAACTTGATGACAGTAAAACAGACTGTTTTCAGCAATATAATCATCCCTCCAGAGCCTAGAAGGCTCCTTTCGATTTCATTCATCTGCCAGCTTCTGGTTTTAAATACCCTGCAGTATGCAGAGCAGTGCCTGTTGTACTAGAATTTGCAGAATTTGTTGAAGATATAAAACATCGTTAGGACCAGGAGAAATGCGCAGGGAATTAGAGTCATTTGCCGCAAAACAGATCCCTAGCAGTCGGACACGTAAATCTGTATATGTTTCGTGAGCCTCCCTCTGCAGTCAGGGGAAACAAACTTCTTTAGTGACTGACTCATTTCACACTACAATAAGCTCATAAGAAAAGCCAGATGATCCATTCCCTGGAATTATCAGTATTTCCTCACTAACAGGGCAGACAAGCTGATTTGTATACCTTTTTCATATCTAAATTTAGGTGGGACATGTTTCTTTCTTCGCTGCTGCAGAATCTGCTATTACTCAGCTAATTAAGCTAAAGATAAAATCTGCCCATCCTATAAACCCCATTTTGACAACTCAATAGAAAACAAAGTCTGGTGTTTACAGTATGTCCGGCTATTTTTGTGCACATGAACACTCAAAAACTGATTGAACTGACATGGATTTAAGTCCTAAGTCAATGAGTTCATGCAAGAAAGAAAATTAATTTCCCAGTCCATTACCATTACCTGGGAGATAAATAAGAGATCTAGGTGCATATATAAGAATATATATATAGAATATCATATAAGATTATATTCATTTTAACGCATCCCTCCACCATCACAGCATCTAAGGAGTCAGTATCATTTTGGCTGTGTATCCCAAAAGAAAGAATGGGATGGGCTGAGTGTTGGCAGGTGGCAGAGCCTGTTTCACTGACTGAAATGGTCCCCAATGTGGTTGTGTCCTGGTTAGAATGGCTGGGACCAATTCATCACTGGATGGGTGTAACCCAAAACTGTGTATTCTAGAGCCTTCCATGCCATTTCCCAGAAACTGTTGTCAGTAGAGGCCTGCGAGGTGGGAAGATGTTCCTGTACCCTTTTATGGAATTCCCCTCTCTGAGGGAGGGACTGAGCACTCCCGCCTGAACTGGAGAATATATAAACTGGGAGTTTCAGAACCTTTCCACTCCTCGTGGGATCCAGAGGAAGACTGCAGACCACCGCTCTCAACCAGACTGAGACCACCATCCTCAACTGGACTGCAATCACCACTTTTGACCAGACTGCAGCAGCTCTCCCACCAGCAGGTTTTTCCCCTCTCCCTTTACTTTGGACTCGGGGGTGGGCCAAGGAACACCATTTTTGTTGATACCCCAGGGTGCTGGGTTATACATTTGGGTTTTGCGGGTTAAAACCAATTGTCTGTCTGTGTAATTGTACTTATTGTATTATTTTAATAAATTGTTATTCTGACTTATAATCTCTCTTTTGAGTTGAGTTCATTTCCCCTGCTGGTTAACTTTTAAACCAGCACAGGTTGTTTGGGTGGAATCCCCCTAATGTGACATTAGTTGTCTGAAAATCTGGATAAGCTCCCTCTCTAGTGTGTCAAGAGAAACAGGCCCTGCCAGAGGACACTGATGCCCATTTAATGCTCACCCATTACCAGGTGCTTTACAGAGACCTGGGTATCTGAAGCAAAGAACAGGAGAGTGGTCAATGTGAGCAGAGTTTATGGGGTGAGGGGGGAGGGCTCTTCGGTGGGACAAGACCTACCCAGGGAGCATAGATAGGGGGACTTTGCTCCCTTGCTGGAGATATGGGGCTGTAAAACATAAAGCTTCTCAACAACAGAGGGGAGGTGGCGGGGGGGGGGGAAAGAAGCTGTTTCAAACAGAACTCTCCAAGGAGATTTGGTACAGAGCAACTCTCTTTGACCCACTTCATTTTTCTTGCCATTATCCATTTTTCTTTTTATTATCCACTGCTGGATAATGCTGAAACCAGTTTCATAGATGAGAGAGAAACAGGGATAAACAACCTCCTTTTGCACTGATTCCAATGCAGGGTGACTTTAAGAGTAATGTCATGTCTCTTTCTTATTACACGGAAACTTCCTTCAGTGATGAAACTATTTTTTTTTTATTTCCACTAATGTTTCCACTCCCTTTCTTAAGCTGCAAAAGTTAGTATTTTCTGCTCTCTACACGTGTCCTCTTCCCTTGTTTATTAGTTTCCTTACTGGGGCTTCACTAGGTCTGAATTACCATTGCTTTAGGATTATTACATAACTCACATGCATTTTTATCTTGAGCAGATTAATAAGTAATCTCATATCTCTGCAGGAATAGGAAGGCACTATTGGCTAATTTCAACCACGTGCTTTGATATCACAGCATATAAATAAGCATGGATTTACAGGTCCAACATCAGGCTCTTCTGACACTTGACTTCTCTTCCTCAGCCCACCATGGAGCTCCTGGGAGCGACTACTATTTTCTTGCTGGTCTGTATCTCATATCTTCTTCTCTTGGCCACACGGAGAAGCACATCACAAAAAGGGAAGGAGCCTCCTGGTCCCTTCTCACTTCCTATTGTTGGAAACCTGCTCCAGCTGAACCCACGGAACATGCCTGAAAGCTTGAAGAAGGTAAGGAACTGTTTTGTTCTTTTCTATGTTATCTTCATTGTATATAAAATAAAGGCCAGTCCCTGCAGTCTCAGCTTAATTCACAAGCTTAGTTTGCACTGACCAAATGTTGGACTCAAAGAGAAACTAAAGGTTTCCCAGATATACATGCTTCTGAAATCTATATATCTAATTCTATATATTACAAGTCAGTTTATGTATTTGCAATGATCATACTAATGATGAGTCCCATGCTGACCTCACAGCATTACTGCAATTTGCACTGGACTTGCAATCAAGGCCCTGCTGCTATTGCAATATGCATTATAATCCTCCTGTGCCCAGCTCCTCATCGTGATGGAAACATGGCTTGGCCCCTTTTTGGGGAGAACCCTGCTCCATTTTGCTGCCTCTACTCCCCAGCAAATATGTAGGATCACCTGGGAGTGGAACTAGCAAGTAAAGAAGTTGAAGCAAAAAAGTTTGGAGGTGGATTGTGCTGTCCATTCCCTCCCCTGGCTGATGTCACCCATCTGGCAAAAAACCCCTCTGTGTTGCAAGGTCTGGAAGGAATGTTCATCCAAAGTGCCTGTTCCTTAGGGGATTGTGAGGCTATGGTGACAGATATATGGAAAGGGCTGGTGTCCCTGGGTTCTTCAGAGCAAAATTGTGGTGGTGGCTGATGTCACTGTGTGTATTGTCAGATGCAAACATACTCAGATGAGCTCATTTTTGCCCTTGTGCTTGTGAATGTTGAGAATCATGAGCACCCTCAGGCATTCTGCTATGTTTCAGAGCACTAAGTGATTCAGTTTCCCACCATGAAAAAACCACAGGATTTCGTCTAGTTTGGTCTTGTAAAGTGAGCATGAGAAGCATTCCAGACTGGACCACATAGCCTGAGAATCTCCAATTGTAGCCAAGAGGAGATGCCTGGGAAGGAGTACATGATTAGTGCAAGGATGCTGTGACTGTCTGCTGATATACTCACTCAATTTTCAGGGGTGTGTGGCCCAGGAGATTTGAGAAACAGCTTTGCTGTTTGTGCTCAGAAACCCTTTAGGCATTTGCTTCCATATGTGTATATAATTTGGTTTTGAGCTCATGTAAACTGTTATCCACTATGCCCTGCAGAAAGGCCTCCCAGAATGTTTTGCCAGCCCTATGAAGGGCTATTTTCTTTTCTCAGATTTGGATTTGATACCTTGCCACTTCCATTCTTATCACCTATTTCTTGTATAATTCCCCCTTCCCTTGTCTGTAATTCATAGTTGAAAGAGCTCTGCACTGCTGCTAATCAATGTCATGTCTCAGCGATGCTGGGACAATGGCAGATCACTGCTCAGACCCTTTGCTACAAAATCCTTTTCACATGATTAACATTCAGACTTGTTGTTCTTTGCGTTCCTCTTTCCTACAGCTCAGCGAGAAGTATGGTCCTGTCTTCACGATACATTTAGGCCCACGAAAGGTTGTGGTACTGTATGGTTATGATGTTATGAAAGAAGCTCTGATTGATCAAGGAGATGACTTCAGTGGAAGAGGCATTCTGCCACTGATTGAAAAACTCTTCCAAGGCACAGGTACGTCCTTCATAACGTTAGCATAAAAAACGCATGTTTTCAGTGCTTCAGGAACACAGCTGAGCGGGCAGTGGAGGAGGGAGTGGTGGATTTCATTTACTACTTTCATGCAAACAAATCAGTAATTAAAGATCAAAAGCCCAACTTACGCTTGGACCCTGGAGTAAACTGGTCCCCTGGAAAACTGTTTAAGGTCCCAGGACAGCTTCATTGACTGCCTTTCTGTTTTCAGCATGCCTCACATTCTGGCTAAAATATTGTTCATTAAATGTACCTCTAAGGTCTTACTTTCGTTCTCCCACTTCTGAAAATACTCTAAATATATACACAGGTAAGGAACCAGCAAAAGGAAAGTCCACAGCACAACAAAGATAAGATAATATAGGCTGACCCGGTAAGGGCCACTCTCAGGATTAGGCCATGAGATGATTCACCAGGTCAGTCCCCAGTATGGCATTTATCTGGGTAAATAGAATATATTCCATGCAATTATATATAGTGCAGTTCCAATGATACTGTCAATAAGTATATGCTCTGTGAAGAGACACAGCAGAACATTTAATAGTTATGTCAGTGCAAAGGCCATGTGCTTGTGGCCTAGACCAATTCAGTACCAGTGTTACCTACTTACTTACATCCTAATATAGTTTTTTTTCTTCTGGGAATAAAGTCAGTTTTACTCAAAGTGCTGTGACAGATGGATCAAATTTGTCACCTCCATAATTGCACAGGCATTTCTGGGTATATAGCAATAGCAGTGTAACTCCGCAGAGAGCTGTCTTTTCAGCTTGAGTACTTACTGTGTAGCTCCCATTTAGGGAAAAAAAATCTGTTTCCTCATGAAGGTCTGTTTTTCCTCCCTGTGTCAGGCATTGTGACTAGCAATGGCGAGACCTGGAAGCAGCTCCGACGATTTGCACTCACAACCTTGCGGGATTTTGGGATGGGGAAAAAGGGCATCGAGGAGCGAATCCAGGAGGAAGCTCATTTTCTGGTGGAGAGGCTCAAGAACACACATGGTAGGATCAGGACTTTGTGCCTGCTGAGACACCGTGCATCTTTGCAATGAGACAATGAGGCGTATAGGGCTGCTTCACAAAATCTATGACCCAACTACTGGGCATATGGTTGCTGTCTCTGCTCCCTGCTTCAACAGGCAAAGTTATCACTCCTGACAGTCAGTCAGTCAAAGGCACGGGGACAGTGGGGAGGATAAACGTAGGAGACAGGGTTGGAGAGTATCATTTACCTGTTCTGCTTGAGCGACAAGACAGAAAGTGGCAAAATGAACAGCTTTGCCACAAAGCCAAGGGTTGGATGGAATTCAGCCATGGAGACAGGGCTGGACATTGCCAGCATGCAAGCAACATGCACTTCCTCCCCTTGTCTCCTGCAGCTCCATGTAAACAGTTCTTGAAGAAGTGGGTGACTAGAGAACTCATTTACAGATATTTGGGGTTGGGTCCAGTCCATCTGAACAGTAGAGACACACCTCCCACATTGGTGGGGCTGTCCAGTGGGACCAGGGGCTGCTTCTGAGGGCAGGGTATAAGGTAACCCCCTTGGTTTCCACCTATAAATGTGTTTTCTGGTAGTATGCAGGTCAATGTTACTTCTAAATACTTCCCCTGAGAGTGACACAGTACCAGCCTGAATTCCAGGCTTCCATTCCACATTCCATCAAGCAAGTTTTCAATGTGGGCTAACTGTGCAAGGTGGAAAAAGCAGATGGATCTAACAGAATGATGAAGCATCACTGTTTTCCATGAGCCACTAATTCAGTTTGGCTTCATAGATAAACATTTCTGTTACAAATTAGAGAAAATACTCTCACCTGCATTGCTTTTATCCTTTGACTTACACAGTAATACTTATTTCTTATGCCCTTGTGCAAACCTCCAACTCTGGCTCACCTTGTTACAGCATCTTTTACTGTGTACTAAAGGCTTTGCAAGCAAGATATATACAACTGAGAAGGATAAAGCCATTATCTACCCCTAGTTCAAATAACAAATAGCTATGATTAGTATCTTCTAAGTTCAGCATTAATATACTCACCACCTCTGATGAGACATCTGCTGAGTTTTCAGTGGCCAGGGAGTCACCAGGCAGGCAGAGAAGGGTTGGTGCCATTGCTGCTTGGAATAGGCTGATTCTCAATGCTGTCAAGTTGACATTTTCTGACTCCTTGGTTTTCTTTCAGGATTTTATACCTTTTCATGTTGTTGTTTCTCCTCTTGAAACCTTGACATGCAACCTGTCACTATATTTTTCCTTCTTTCTTGGGTCTAATCTTGCTTTTTTCTTATGCTGTAGTTTTCTTCTTAGTAGTTAATGCATCTGTGCTATCGAAACTAGACTTTGATCACAGGCATTTGAACCCCTAGGAGAGGGCTATGCAATGGAATTTATGCTAACAGAGTTCATAAACAGAATGCAATAAACCCATGGTTCAGGCAAAGTCCTCATGGTTTCACTGGGATTTTGTGGGAATCCTTAGGCCATTTCTAATAAACAATATATAAGGCAGACAGGTGTGTGCCAGCTGAAGAGAACTAAGGCACTCAGACAAGTGTTCTGCTGAGAACTGGGCAAAAGAGATACTTAAACCATTCTAGTTGAAGTGAAATTAGTTCACTTCAAGAAGAGAAGAATAAATTGGACAAGCCCTTCACCATCCTTTCAAAGGACTGCAAAACTCTGGATCTCAAGAGGATGTGAAACTACCCTGTAGTGTTAGGGGGGAGATGATCCCTGAAATACTGAAAGCAAGATAACATTTCTTTTGTTTGTTGTGGCAGAGCGACCTTTTGACCCTAGCAACTTCCTAGTCCATGCTGTTTCCAACATCATCTGCTCCATTGTCTTTGGGGATCGGTTTGACTATGAGGACAAGAAATTTCTAACTTTAATCGATTTGATAGATGAAAACAACAAGCTCCAGGCCTCTCTACAAACCCAGGTGTGTATAGTTATATTTAATACATTTATTATTATAATATTTTATTAATGAATATTTATTCATATTATTAATTTTTAATTAGAGGGGATTTTCTTAAATTTGGAAAAAAAATTTGAAAGTGAAAAAGACAGTTAAATAACCAGTTCCTACCGGTTTTTCTTATCTTATGGAATTGTGATTGTATGTCCAAAGGATATAATTGCAGAAGTGCAGTCTATCCTCAAATGTAGTAAAACCATAAAGTAAATGGCATTCAAATCCTGAGTAATAAAGACCTACCATTCCAAAACAGTTTAATTGCCCCAGTTTCATAGTTACAATTAGGGGAAAATATTATTGTATGTGCATTAATCAGAATGTGCTTTTTTATAATTTTATTTTTACAGCTATATAATTTCTTCCCAACTGTCATGGAGTTAATACCTGGACCGCATAAAAAACTGATAAAAAATATTGAACAAGTTGATCAATTTACAACAGAAATCGTAATGGAGCACCAGAAAACCTTGGATCCCACTTGTCCTCGAGATTTTATTGATGCTTTTCTTAACAAAATGGAACAGGTATTGTAAGAGTATAGATTTATTGGATTATGAGGAAATCACTGCTTGAATCACATCTTTTCACTTGTGATGGGGCATTGGGCTTTTGCAAATACAGAGGGGAACTTGCTCTTCTTGCCACATAGACTTCATTCTATCCTCTCCATTTTCTTATCAAGGATTTTTAAACACGGAATTAACAGCACCAGCCAAAGTTAAGAAACTTGAAGACCAATCTGGTTAATGTAATTCAATGCTACTCCCATATTAAAAAAGGTTCATAATATTATTCAGTAAAAGTACCTAAATGCTGGTGGTCTGGAGAGTGTCGTATTTTTGAAAGGACATAAGATATGTTTATAAACATACATTATGGGTACAGGACTTTTCTTTTTAAACAAGCTTCTTGCTTTTGTCATTCAAAACCTTCTGCCAAATCTTCTTGCAGGAGAAAGGGAATGTCGACTCAAAATTCACCGTTGAGACCTTGACCAGAACCACGCTGGACTTGTTCCTTGCAGGAACAGGGACCACCAGCCTCACACTGAGATATGGAATTCTGATTCTCCATAAATACCCAGAGATAGTAGGTAATAGAAAAGGAAATAAATGATGTAAAAAGTTTTAGTAGGTTACCGGATCAGTTTGGACAATTCCTGTCACTACTATACGTGGCAATGGTCCCCTGACTAAGAATCACGTCTTTTCAGTGTGGAAATGTGTATTAATCTTAGTTCTATTCACAAGAAGGAGATGTTAGTACTAAGTATATTCATATATTCCCAATTTACTAAAAGCAAGTTGTGTTGTAAATACAGGGAGAGACGTAGGCAAAGAGATGGGCTACTTGTCCACTGAGCATTTACTTATTTCCTAACAGAGAAAATGCAAAAGGAGATTGATTCCGTGATTGGCCGAGACCGAAGCCCCCGCATGGCAGATCGGAGCCAGATGCCCTACACAGAGGCTGTGATCCATGAAATCCAGAGATACATTGATTTCATTCCACTTAATGTCCCACATGCTGTGATCAGAGACACCAAGTTCAGAGGCTATTTTATCCCCGAGGTCTGTTGCATTGTGTCTGAGAAAGGTCATAATCTCCTGAAAACAATTATATGTTCTATTCTTTGTATTTTATTTAATTTTTAAAAGCACTGAAATTGTGATATTGAATTGGAATAGTTTTGTTTGGGAGGGGATTCTGGTAGTTATTGAGTCCAATCCCTTGTATTAGAAAAGGAAAAAAAAAGAAAAGATTTTTTCATCCTCTATGAGAAGAGGGCAGTAGAGCTTTCTTTTTTTATATATAAATGTAAGGCGTATTATACTTGGGAGCAATTTTAAATACTTTAAACAGACTCACCACTAAAATTCATTAAAAGAAACATCTTTGCATCTTTGCCATACCAATGCCATATATTTTCACTCATTAAATGCTCATTTTAAACTGGTTAAACTTTGACTACCCTTCTGTTTAGCTCTGGAAACTTCTTAATCCCTCTTTGCTTTAGCAAATCTCCATTACAACATTCTTTTTTGTCAATTCAGGGCACTATGGTATTCCCTATGCTGACTGCCGTCCTACATGATAGCAAGGAATTTCCAAATCCAGAAAAATTTGACCCAGGACATTTCCTGAATGCAAATGGTACCTTTAAAAAGAGTGACCACTTTATGCCATTTTCTGCAGGTAAGACCTCTTCCTATTTCACATCCTAGACTATCCTCTCCTAGAATCTCTTGGAAAATTTCACTGGCTCCATTGCCATGGTCTGTACAGTGATGTCTGGTGGCATCTGCTACTCACTTCTGGGCTGCTGTAAGCCCTGCACTAGAGTTTCAGTTGACTTCCTTTTTTACCAACCTCAAAAGTTCCTTCAATGCCTTCCACAAGAAGAGGTGTATAAAGTGGGACTCAGCCATGCAACTTCTCTCTCTCCAAACTTACCATCACACAGCAGCAGAACATGAGAAACCAGAGCCTTCAAACCACCTTTGCCCACTGAGCACTCTTATTGTTCTAGACCCTCAGTTTCTACTTTAATCCACTTGCTTTCCCAAAATGCTGCAGTGCTGCCTGTGCCTTCTGAGACATCTGAACTGTCAAGGAACAGTGGTTAAAACCAGTTAGCAAGCAAAATACTCCATCACCTCAATTTTTATTATTTTCTTTTCTTGCAGGAAAACGTGTCTGTGCAGGAGAAGGTCTGGCCCGGATGGAGATATTCATATTCTTAACATCCATCCTGCAGAACTTTACTTTGAAGCCTATTATGGATCTCAAGGACATTGACATTACTCCAGTAATCACCAGCCTGGCAAGCATGCCCCGACCCTATCAGGTCTCTTTTGTTCCACGTTAGCCAAGAGAAAACTGTTGCCAGTTCCCAAACTCATGAATGCTCTGACTGAACAACAGTCATTTCCCAATCTCTTGAGACTGAAACACTCAGATAATTTCCTAGATGCCTTATGGAGACAAAAGTGCTCAGAAAAGAAAATTGTATGGTGCTGTTATAATCACCACAGCCAGCTCTAAACAGAGTAGGCAATTGCACAGGGAAGAACACAGCTCCCTGTGCAAAATGATACAGGTTCTCCTCTGCACCTACCTCGCCCAGCTCTGTTTCCTGTCTGGCTCCTCACATACCAGGGTGTGTGGACTAGCTGTCTGAGAGCTCTGCTGCTGCTGTCCCTATCACTTGGTCATCTCAGCACAGCAGAACAGGTGCTTGTACTCCAAGCTTTCCACAGACTCTGCTTGAGGTACCTCTCTCCTCTGTACTTTCAATTTGTTTGTAACCTATTTGTAAAGGTAAGCGTAAAACAGTGAGGGTTTTTCTGTTAGGTGATGGTCATCTAATATATTCTTGTCCCAGTACTTATTGTCTACTGTGGTGGGAATGGAGTTTATCAATGACTGGGCAGATGGGTCACCTTCTGTGTGATTGTAATGAAGGTTTGTGAAATTACAACTTCTATTGCAAAATAAAAAAGTGGTACACTGAACTGTTCTTTTTCTGAGATCCCAGACCATCTTTCAGTGAAAAACCTGCATCCATAAAGCTTGTATTTCCAAATGTTTGTCAAGTCTTGTACACTGTTGAAATCTGACTGTTTCAATTCATTCATGTATATGAAATATCCTATGGCTTGAAGAACAAGCTGGCTAATGACCTATAAACTTCCATTCCCAATGGGGGATAATACAGGACTTATCAGAACCCCAGCTGTAGTTACAGAGCTGTCCACTGTGGCAAAAAAAGAAGACAAATTAAATAATACCAGGATGCCCCCAGTGCCATTTCCTAGATAAACGCCAGCTTGCATCTTCCCATTATTTTATGAAGTACGTAAAGATCACCACAGCAATGTTACAATCAGGCAAAAACTATAAATAGTGTTCACATGAATTGCCAATCATACCTGTACAGATCTAGGATTGGCATTTCCTGTCTTGATCGTGTTCCCTGTAATGTATAATATGTAGTGATTACAGTGAAGACAGAGAGCTGAATCTGTGCTATGTGGGAAAAGACAGCAACTGTAACATTACCACAATGGCATTAACTGCTTATTAACAGGCCAAACTTGTTTCCTTTGAAAGTATTAATAAGCTAAATATACCATGACTTGGTGGCATAGCATTCCAAAGGCAAAAGCCACAAATGTCACAGAATCGTAGAAATAAGTTGTCTCATCAGATAATAAGAAGAAAGCACTCTGTAATTCCTCTTTAGCTGTGCCATGACTAAAAAAGCCAAAGCAAATGAGGAAGCAGCTTCCTTGTTTCAGACATCTTCCTCCATGCTGAAATGAGAAGGAGGCAGCCAATGCAGATCAGCAAGAAAACAGTTTTAGCACACAGAGACTCCACCATGATATGAAATGGGTGTTGAGATTAGAGGAGGTTAAAGCCATGTCCTGGAAGTCTCACTTTGTGTCACTTGTGGTATAAAAAGCAGTGCAATGGTAACCAAAAACTGCTTACATTAGTTCTGGGTTAACTAAAAAAATTAGCCACTGTTGGAAAGTTCTATGTGTCCCATGAAGCCATACTGTTCCATCTCCCTGCCTGCTAGTGCACAGTGCAGCCCAGGCTTTTTCTTCTGCAGGGACAGTGCACACACTGCATTACTTGCTCATGTGCAGAACCAGGCAGGACCGTATGAATTTTCTGTGGCAAACCTGACACAACGTCCTGTCACTTGGCCATGTGAAAAAGACTTTTGAACTTGATTAATCCATTCTGCACATTGTTGCTATTAGTTCCCAAATATCTCTCACAGAACATAAGCACCTCTGTGAGCTCAAGTTTCTCAGATGCTTCTAAGAAGCTGGGAAGCAACTACAGAAGCAACAGTCAGCTGGGCAAGTACTAATGAAGAAAAGAACTGGCAAATTCTGAAACATATGAAAGTGTCCCTAAGTGAAGAGCTCAGTGAAGAAATCCATGAAGCAAACAAATGTACTTCAGCACTGGCCCCATAACAAGGCAATAGCACTTGCCTGAGCTACTACTATAAATTAACGCGACATACAGAGCTAATTGGATGTCTGGACATAAAGGACAGATGTGGGTCAAGGGAGATGGGGTGATCAAAGGTAAAAACAAGCAGTTTGGAATAGCCAGGTATAAACTCAAATATCTTCAAATTTTTTGTTGAAGAGGAAACAGACACGAAGAGAGCGCATACCAGAGCCTCATGTGCTCATATATGTTACACAGCTCGTATAGGCTGCAGGGAAGGATGCTGAGACATTTGTGAATTCCCACACAGAAGCTTCATTTAAAAGGCAAAGTTGTGAAAACAGTGGTTTTATCCACAGCTGTCAAGTTAGTGATTCTCCCAGCTGCCATTTCAGATGTCTTTCTGACCTCTTGGGATGTCAGTGCTCCCTTGATAACCCTACACAGTAGCATGTTAAGTTATACATGACTGTAAAGAGGTTGAAACTTTCAACCTAAGGGTTGAAAGTAGTGTTGTACAACATAGAACATTCTGAGGTTCACTAGCGCTGCTCTATCCTGAGGATGAAGCTCTCTATTGGATTATTGATTAACACTGAGGAACTTTGGTTCCAGGACTCACCTTTCTAAATGGATCTTCTGTTCAGCACACAAATACGTCAGAGATATTGTCTGACATGAGTCGTAACTCCCAATGCTTGTGTGCTGCGGGATATACAGCCCCCCTCAACTCAGACACACACACACACAGACAGACACACCCACCCCAAAGGTTTCCACTTCCTTGCAGCTGATGCCTCTGGAGTTTTCCCTGCTGACACAGCGCCCCCGTCTGTCCCCCCGCAGTCCTGCCAGGAAAACACCGCGAGCACAGAAATGCTGCTTCTATTTTAAACCCAGGATATTTAAAGTGATGGTGAAGGCACTCGAGGATCATCTGCTTCACTGTTTTTAAACAGCACTAGGGAAAAGTGCCTGTCCTGGCTAATTACAGTGCTGTACACTGCCCAACACAATGAGGATGTGTACCACACCGGCATGTGACTAGACATTCTTCTAAACGGACTGTATTTCTTTCCTACATATCAGCACTTGTACTATTCTCAAATGCAACTCACTCAAAAGCCAGCTTGAAGTACTTACGGTCGACAGGTATGGAAAAAGTCCTTGGTGTAGGAGGCATGCCTGTTCAGGTGGCAGGGCTCTGCCAAATTAGCAATTTGGAAATTGTTAATCTGGTAGAGAAGCAACTTTTTGTGCTGGGCATGCCACTTCAAAAACTACTAGGATCACAATGCACTGCTAAAGTAGAGAAAGGATCTGCTAAGTTAACTGAGCATGTGATAGAGCAATATATATCTTGCAATTCCACCTGAGGTCCAGGCAGTCAAAGAATGCAATTGCAACAATACTTGAGGCAGAGTTTAAAACATGTTCTGTTCTGCCATCTTCAGTAGCTGGAAAAAGTCTGTCCTCTGAAAAAAATAAAAAACCAGCTTACATAATCTTTCCAACAGGAACTTAGGATTCCAGAGACAACAAATGCAGCAAGTTGTTTTATTGTAAATTTATAGTAATTAGTCTCCCTATGTCAAACAGATAACGGGGGATACCAAAATTAAGGGGTTTCAATACCCCTCTCATGAGTCCAAAGGCCCAAGTATCTTCTCAACACAGAGCTCAATGAAGGAAAAAGTGAAGTTTTGGTCCTACTGCTATTGAGGGAAAATGTCTTTATAGGTTACAGAGGAATTTTCTTAGACAGAATATTTCACGTGAAAAACAGGACTAACACACACATAGCCAATATCAGCATGGGTTAGGGACAGGCTTCTACTTGTCACTGCAAAACAACTGAGCAACAGAACCTCCTGAGAAGAGGAAAATATTATTCAGCCTTAAGCCTGAATACAGCCTACTGTATTCAATAGCTAGAAGAAGTTCCCAGTCTCGATGTTAGGTGCAACCAAATCCTTGGCAACATACAGAACTGCTGTTGTGCAAAACCTGAAAACAGTCTGACTCGTTGCCCAACTCCAACATAAAGACTGTTTAACTTCATCGTTTCTCCAGTTTTTTGTACTTGGCTTCTGCAGAAGGAAAAAAACCCAACATTTTAGTACAGGGTAGGTAAGAGCTTTGCATTTTGTAAGTCGCTACACATCTTAAAATTCAAGTTCATTTACTGTATCATTCAGGATCCTTTATTACTAATGCATTTAGGCAAATATAATTGTACAATACTTTTTTCTTAAGCACATAGTGCTTAAGTCAGACAACTAATAATAATTTAATCCAAGAGAACCTGGGTGCCTTTATGAATTCCTCTGTTTGCAGGATTAAACACAGGTCTTTAAAATTTGGGTCAGGGCATATTGTAAAAGAGAAATCAAGCCTCCCTAATAAGCTGTAGTTTAATAACACCTGTACTAGTCCACTGTAATATAACTTCTTAGAGTAATCTTTTCCCAAAGGCAACTCTGCAACTTCAGATTTGTTAAACACTTCATTTTCTTTCTTTTTAAACCTCCTTGCGAGGCACTATGCTGCTAAGTCATAACAGTAGAGAACAATAGTTACCAAGTTTTTTGGAATACGCATCCAATTTATACGCTGCCTGCTCCAGAGCTGCAACCTGCTCCTCAATTAGGTTTATTTGTTCCAGATATGGCTGAAGATCAGCATCTTAAAAAAAGCAGGAAAATTGTATCTGTCAGTTCTCAGTAATGCACTTCCAGAAAACAGTTCACACTTGAAACACAAGAATTTCTCATTACATTCCTCAGACAGAACAATTTACAAGCTCCTTCCTTCCCCTGCCCCAAAATTAAGTGGTGACACTGGCAGCCATATTCCAAGAAAGCATGAATTGTTTAAGAGTACTGGCTATGCTCTAACACAAGTAACAACAGAACAAGAATCAAAAGAAGTGCTGTTCCTATCAGATCCAAAATTTGGGGTAAACCAGGACATAATTTCAGATGTATTTTCTCTTATGCTAGTCTACATGGTCTATACATGTATATACATGTAACACACAAGATTAGCATTGTATAGCAGCATATCTATTTCAGTGAGTTTTCTTTCCTTCAGGTAATGGAATGTGAACCTTCTGACTCTTAAGATGCTTCATTTCCCAAACAAGTGCACCATTCGTTATACCCCTACCATATTTGGTGTACTTACATTTTTGATTCAAATCCTTAAGATTTCTACTGATGTTTATAGCAATATCTTTCATTTCTAGGTACTTCAAGCTAGTCAGCTTATTCATGTTTTCCAAGAGTTTGTAGTCTTCACTGGTGGCTTAAAAAAGAATAAAGTTTATTTTAATTAAAGGCTGATGTGGTTTGAATCACGTGCAGATTCTTCAAGAGGACAAGAGATTTCAAACCAAGAGAAAAATGTAGAGTACAGTTTGGATGGCAATCCAGGTATAACATGTTACAAAACGAGAATGACCTTTTGTGAATTGCAAAAATCAACTAAGCTGATGAATTCACTTGTAATTTTTTTTGAGAGAAAAATTTACTAATTCCTCACATTTCTACTCTTACTCTGTAATTTAGACACTTATGCTTACAAAACTGATAGCACAAATTCAGACTGGTCATCTGTACCATATATCCTTCAAGTCTGTGCGAATTAGTGGTGCTTTCAGAATTAGAGCCTATGGAATGCACTAAGCTGGTGAGCAGTTTACTTTGCTCCAGTTAATTTTGCACAGCAGTTTATTGTAAAGCATCAATATATTGGAAAAACATCTGCATGATCCTTGCTCTCAGAAACAAAATAACTGCAAATGCTCCACTCTCTGTTGTGCTTCCCTTCTAGTCTTTCTTAACCTAGACCGCTTTTGTTTGTTCACTTTTCTATATACAAACTTATGAGAGCCTAAAAAAAATTATTTTTTGAGTTGCTGATACCATACTGAATTATTTTGAAAAATGTTTGTGCTATTCCAGGACTTTATTAAATTAATAAGACTAATCTCAGTGTTGTTAGTAGCCTAGCAACATGCCAGACTTGAATTGCCAGTCTTACTAGATGTGATCTAAATTAGTTTAGACAAACTACACAACAGATTTCTTTGAAAGAAAGTGAAAAGAAACAAGAACTTACTTGTAGGTCAGTATTGCAGTGTCTTACCTGTCAGTTCACCTGTTAAGTAAGTGGCCATTTTGCTGAACATGTCTTTACAGAGTTCATTGATGTCTGCCTCCGCTGGTTCCTTTGCTTCCTCCGCGGTTTCAACAGCAGGATCCTCTACTCGGGGTACAGACATTACAGGGTTAAGGCAAAGCTATAGCAGGTGCAGGAACACACCGGAAAGATGGTCCCATGTTTTTTTCCTTTAAATTGCCTGCATCTACTTCCCATATAAGTTGTCTACTTCACGCTTAAGGGTAACAAACCTTGGTAGATTCCTTGAAGCAGCTGATACCATACCAAAATTATTCCGAAACAATACTCTAGGGAGCATTCAAGAGATAAGCACCCGGCCTGACCGCACTGGCAAATATCAGCCCCCTCCTGTGCTTAGACGACAGGAAGGGAATTTGGGAAGAACTTCAGCGTGACTTTGTGCACGGTGCCGATGTTTATTTCCAGTCACTGACCCGGAACAGCAGCACAGTCCCCCCAGGCCGCCTCACGGGGGCTACGGCAGATCCCCGCCTGCGGAAAGCGGCAATCGCCGCTCTTCTTCTCCAAACCCGTTTCTACCACAACCTCGTTCTGCCCTTCCCCGGAACGACCCGGCAGCTCTTCCCCAGACCCACAGGCCGCTCTTTCCCTCCTCGGCAGCGTTTGCCGGCTCCTACACGAAGGCTGCCCGAGGCCCGCGGCCGGAGCAGGGGAGTCAGGCGGGGGAGGACGCGGCCGTGCCCCGGGGCAGGGGCAGCAGCAGCCGGCCCGGCCCGGCCCGGCCCTGCCGGCACACTCAAGGCCCCTGGCCCCTCCCAGCGCCTCGGCCTGCTCGGCCCCTGCCCCGCACCGCGGCCCCGGGCGCGCCCGGCCCCTGCCCCCAGCCCCCGGCCCTTACGCTTGGCGGGCTGCGCGCCGGCCTCGAGCGGCCCCTCCGCCGCGGCCGCCATGGGCTCAGAGCCCCTCCCGCCGCCCCGCGCCCGCCTCCTCCGGCCGCGCCAGGCCCGGCACCGCCCTTCGTCGGGTGGGGACGAGCCCCGGCTCCGCCTCCCCGTGAGCTGCCCGCGGCGGCGGCTGCGCGGGGGTGACAGCTGCGGGAACGGGCAAGAACACGCAGCCCTCGCCCCGGCAGTAGTGGAGAGACAAACACCGAGGTGTAAAAGGTGGCACGAGTTTACTTTTCACCAGATAGGGCGTGGTTCGTGCTCGACGAGGCTGCGCCGCCGGTGCGATCATTGTCCCTTTAACACCGCAACCGCACCGATCACTGCAGCGGCACAGCAGCACTTTCACACCGCAGGCCGGTTCCAGGGGCTGCTTCCAGCCCGGCCCTCACAGGCGAACTCTCTAGTCTTGTGTTTGAGGATATCTTCCTTTGGCGTTTGCTGGTCCACTTGCATCTGTGGGTCTTAATGCAACTTAATAGCATCTCTGCTGTTTTTGCTGATGATGGTGAGGAGACAGCTGCTGGCACGCTACACTTTGTCCTGTGGGGACTGCGGTATATGTCGCTGTGGTTTGCCACAGCAATGTCCATGTGTTTTTCTTCAGTTGCACAGTGTAAGTGGCACTATATATATAGATTGTGCAGCTAAGCATTGTCTGTTGTTAAAAAACTCTGCCAGTGCTAAGTATACAAATTTTTATTAAGAAAAATAAAGAAAATGGTAATTTCCTCTCCTTTTAAGTAGTAAATATATTTTTTGCTGTTGGTCATAGGGGGGAAAGTTGTTTGGTGTTGATTTGGGGTTTTTTTTACAGTACAGCAGTATATATTTCTCACTCTTCTTAGATAAGATGTGTTACACCACTGCTGTTTAGTTTTTAATGAAGCAAAAGTTGTTTCTGCAAGTAGCTTCCATTGAGAAGCTACCAAAAGTATAAATATTCTTGCTTGGCAAGGACAGCTCATACCCCATACTCACTTCAAATTCAAATGCATCTCCAAAACACTGGGAATGGTCTCTAGCTCTCCTCAGATGTGACAGGCACTAGCAATGCATAAATGTCACCATCACCTTTTACCTTTTGTGATGGAGAAGCTCACATGTTCAAAGGAATATTTCCAGTATAAGCTGGCCACAGAATAATAATGCTTTACAATATATAGTTTGATATATACCTAAGGAATTAGGAGAGTTATATTCTCTTAGAAAAAAATCACGCAGTGTACATCAATGCATGTCTTCTTAAAAACCTCAATCATACAATCCTAAAGAGATCATACTCCAGAAACAGGAGGACAGGGTTCCCATCTGAAGTCCAGTAAACTGGCAATCTCCAGTGGGCCCTAACAGGCTTTGCGGTTTTAAGACCTGAGAAGCTGCAGACCAAAGCAACACAGGATTCTATGTGAACTTTCTCATAAACCGGAGTTTTGCATAGGCAATGATAAGGAAGATAACAGTCATGCAGAAGAGAGCCACTATGTTTTCCCACATTGCCCAGCTGGTCGGTGCGATTCCCTGGCTGCACAGGTATGCTTCACCAGAACACCTGAAGAAAAGCATGGGGTGCAACTTAGTACTACTGTGGTGCAAGTCTTCAAGTAATTACTTTTATTCCTGTTCCACAAAGATCCTTCTACCCTCAACTCTGCGAAACAGGTGACAGAAATAATCCATAACCCATCACCAAAAAAAGCTTAAGGGACAAATCTAGATCTCTGGTTCTCATAATTTTTCAGTAGTAACCTAATTGTTGTTTATAGACAGCTGGCAATTTATAAGGAAATCTCAGAACCACCTTAAACCTTGCTAAATACAGAAGCAGGCTGAGGTCCATAGCAGGGGTTTGGGGTCCAAGAGCTGTGAAAACAGTGCTTTAGCACTGTTCCCTGCAAAACCCTCAGTTTGCCAGCCCTCTAGCACGTGTCATGAAATACTTGCATTGCCACAACTTAAAGTATCAATACTCGAGAGTATTTCAAATAGGGCAAAATGAAGCACTGAAAGATAGATACCTCAGCCTTGTGCTGTATCTGCAGGGAGGTTAATATTTACAAACAAGCTTTGGGGGAGAGGCATGTTCTGATCACAGGTCTAGTGCCTTCCAGCAACTTTGTAGCTTGTCCATACATTGCGTTTCAGTTGTTAAGTGAACCTCAGTTTGTTTAAGAAAACTGGTAAGTCAGGGCTAGGTTATCAAATACAAAACTTAATTCAGCTCATCTGCCTATTTTTATGAATAAAGTTTCATCTCTACTTCACTCCTGGGTAATTGTGGAGTTTTACTGTATAATCCTAAAATACATTATTTTGGGACATATTATTGTGACTGGCTTGTGAGTGGTTATTCCGTGCATGGTACAAAATTTTGAAACAGTCAGGCTTCTCTTAAAGTAAGCCATCACAATTCAGGCCCAGAACCACCATGAGTTACTTACATTTCTTCTGAAATATTGGGCAGACAACTGCCTACATCTCCCACAAACACTGTAGCATTTGGATTCTTCTCACCACAGAAGTAGAGATCCCTGTACTCATTCACCTGAAGAGCCTAGGAAAAGAGGCAGATACCAGATTTTTGCAAAGTTAGTGATTTGGGTATTAAAACTGAAACATCTCAAAGGAACTTGATTATTAGAAGACATGTATCACCATTCTTGGAATCGTATGTTTATGTTCCTTTTTATTTTCAAGCTCTTAATAACTGCCCTTCTGAGGAATTGCCGAGTTCCACATGCAGGATGGTTGGTATTCGAGTCTTTGGCTTCAAAGTTACTTAGCCATGGGTTTCTGTCTTGCCAGCTACAAGTTCCTGTTCATCCACTTTCACCTGGGTCAGCCGACTGATCCAGAGAACCGTGTGGCTGCATGAAGACACCCCAGCACCAACACACTGAAGACATGGCACAGTCAGTCAAGGTAAGTGGTGAAAGGTTCCCTTGCACTGGCATCCTGGACTCACTGCAATCTCAGAGGACACTTCCACATTCAGTAACACTGACAAAACATCTCAGTGATACCCAAACAGGGAGGTCTCACACATCTCCCACCCTGTACCAGTTCAAGCATTCATTTAATTCATTTTTACTCCAAGGTAGGACACTATTCCTCCCAAATAGTCCCACCTGTAACCAGTGGGTGACCTACTATGTCAAATTACTCTGTTTCAAGCAGCTGCATCCTTAGATTTCTGGTACCACAGCTCCTTATTATTCAGAAATGGCAGCAAGTCAAATTTTACTTCAGAGGAAGCCACATTGAAGACTGAGACACTCAGACATTATGGTAAATACTTTAACCAGCTGAACAGTCATTAACCTCCGACTGGCCACCCAAACAGCAGTCTCCGGAGACGTTGTACAATATTTGACTTCATTCTAAACCATAGGGATCAACAATTCAGGCTAGGAATTAGTGCCTCACTCGACAGCTCATTCTGCTGCTGTCCATGCAGCACTAACTCTGTAACAGAAATGTTTGTTCAGTCTCTGAGACTTCCATCTCTCACACAAAGATTAACTTTTGCTTCCTTTTTGGGGTTGGCTGGTTTGTTCTTTTTTTGCCATGTTCGTGCAAGGAATCAAACCAATCTGACTTTTAAGAGAACTTCATTTATACTCAAAACCTCTCCAGAAAGCAACAATGTGGCTACATTATTCACAGGAGACCAATGGTACTTTCTACTCACAGTGAGGCCATATCGAGGGATACTGAAGTACTTGAGCCAGTTCAGCCAACCCATTACTGAAGGGAGGTTCACTAAGAGGCCTGAGAAGATCTGAAATAGAACAGAAGAGACTGATGAGTCACAAACTATTTACTGCACACTCCTGCACAGATGCTGCATTTGCCCAGCAGAGGCGCACTGGGGTTGATGGACCTGCTACTGCTGTCACGCCTGTGCCTACAGGCATGAGGCTGGAGCCTCGCAGCACTCCCAGCCAGCTGGGCCAACAGCAGAGCCAAGTATTTCAGCTGAACTGCATGCAAAGAGGTCAGAAAGGTTTTCTTCATCGACATGTGAGCTAAGAAGCACACATGCTCACAGTTTCTTACTCGGGAGGACAGTGTGCTATGGTAGAGCTAGCCAGAGGCTAAAGAAGGATGACTGCGAGATGAGAAAGTGGAGAAACAAGAACCAAAAAATGGGGAGCCTTATGGGCTATTACTGTTTCAGTTTTCTCCTCTGGCCTACATCTTTTATCCATGCTCTCTCCTGCCTGAAACAAGATTGCTTTTACTTCTTAGCACAACTGGGTGTCATAGCTAAGCATGACACTTCAGCCTCTCCTTCATCACAAGTGATCTTGTGCTTACCCCGCTGTCTTTCAAGGCATGCATGTGCCACTCCTTATATACTGTGACTTAACTGAATGTACATCAGCTGCCTTTCACTATACATGCACACTTCTCAGCCACAGCAAGCATTTGAAGCAGCACACTATTACTTGGCTTATTGCAAAAGCAGATTAAATTGCAAATCAAAGAATAAAGGATGTGCGGTGGCTCAGAGTACACACACAGATAGTTACCAAGAACCACCTAACAAGGAATATCTAACTTGATAGCGTCACCACCATTACCTCTTTGAAAAAGAATTCACAGCTCTCATCTGTGAGTAGCCAAAACTCCCTTTTCTCTCTCTTGCTCTCTTCCTTAGAAGTCCTTAAGGAAGAGTATTGAAGTAATTTCTTGAACCCAAGGGCAATACTGAATTAAAGAGAGTGTTTGCTCCTGCTAATCCCACTGGGCAATAAAAATTAATGCAAAAAAAAATCAACAGATCTGGTTTATTTCAGGATTTTTTTTCTTTTAAATGATCTATTTGATCACTTAGATTTCTAATACTGGAAGTACAAGATTTTTTTTAAATCAATTTTTGTAAGGACAATTTAAGAAAAAACCCAACACTTTTTTAGGGGGCACACTGTTTGGAAAGCTCTGGTGGTATCACACCTACTGAATTGCACCTGAGCAATGATCTGACCCTCAGACTACAAGCTGGCAAGAGAACATCTTTGGCTATAGTGACAATAAAATCACAGGCATGGGACTGACATCCCACAGGACTACGGATTTTTAGCCTGCCTATGGCTGGCTCAATGCAGTCCACTCAGTTGGCCTCAGCTCTTTCCTCCTCTCCACCAAAGGAGCACACACACCCTTATATACTCACAAGCATCAGGACAAAACAAATCGTGATGAGCAGATTGGCCACAGCCACCACATCCATCCCAGCACTGATAGCCAGAGACATGGCTGTGGCAGTGTAGGACACCATTACCAAGGTCAGCATGAAGAAAAAGAACCGTCCTGCAACAGCTTGGTATCCTGTCAAAAAATAGAAAGGTCAAAGTCCAGTAAACAACCACATTTTGATTCCCAGAGAGGTGCCTTGGACTCCTGTACAAGACAGGCTAAGCAGGAAGGCCAAGTTTGAAGTTGGCAGGAACTGTGCATGCTCTAAAAGCCTAAAGAGCATTACCAAAAGATGTTGTCAGGCAGGTCCCTGTCTTAGATTGCTGGTGTCTCTGCCCCTGCCCCAGAGTCCTCCAAAGTTATGATGCCAAGCACTACAATAAGCTGAAGGTTTGTGTAGTTTCATGTTACA